GCACGTGCCGCCTGTGCACAGGCAAGAATCACCCCCGTTCCAACGCAGGAAGGGAAAGGAGCCGGCGGAAGAACCGCCTACGAGACACCGGCCCTCGGGGCCAGATCCTCCGGCGCACCACGCGCCGCAATTCGCGCCTTCGGCGCCAGGGCCTTCGAGCCGAGGAGATACGAGCAGAGAGCGTGCGGAGGCCGCACCATCGGCGGGAAGTACGCCGATAGATGCGCCTTCGGCGGTAGGGCCTATAGGCCAAGGAACATCGGGCGTGCGGCCCCCGGCCATGTCGCCTTCGGCGATAGATGTCCGCGGCGCTACGCCTGCGGCGGACAAGGCGTCGGCAAATGCGCCTGCGCACGGGCCGGGCACGGCCCCCACGGACCGATCGAGGGAGCAGCAGACGGAGGAGCGGAGTGACTGTCCGCGGGACGACATCTCGATGCGCGATGCGCAATCCAATCCCGCGCAGCCACCCTCCGCTCGATCGCCTTCGGCGACGGACGACGGCGACAGAGAGAATGCGGTGGGCAATCAACCAGCGAGCGACGGGGATGCCGCTCGGATACATTCGCCTTCCGCCTTAGACATTTTGGCGACGAGCAGCGAGGCCGCAGCCGTGCCTTCGCAGGCAGCACACGTCGAGGACGTGCAGCCCCACTCGGGGCAGTCGCCGACGCATTCAATGGCGACTGAAATTCTCCACTCGGATGATGACGACGGAGGCTCCACGGAAGAAATGTCAGGAGCAGAAGACACCGAGGAGGAGGAGGAGGAAATTGTTGGAGCGCCGGCGGCGGCGCTCTCTGAGCAGGTGATTCCGTTGCTGCGGTACTTGGATCGCAAGGTCGATAAATACGCCGACCCACTCCAGCCGGGATCTTACATCGAGTTAGTGCGCAGGAGGACTCGCACTAAAGTCCACACCAGCAAGCTATTAGCTAGAGTGGACCAGGAGTTGAGGGACTTGAAGGAGAAGCATGAGTGCTTGTGGGGACAGTACAAGCTTAATCAGAAATTCTACAAGCACTCCGAGAAGATGAAGGATGAGAAACTGGGCGAGCTCACCAAGGAGCAGGTGAAGGTCAAGGAGGCACTCGATTTTGAGCAGGCCCAGAATCGGATTTTGTCAGAGGAGCTCGTGCGACAGACGCGGTTGTTGGAACAATGTCAGCTCGCACGGCAGGCGGATGAAGAATTAATCCGCAGTTTGCAGTCAGAGTGTGGCGAATTGAGAGCGCAACGTGCTGAAGCCGAATCGCAATTAGTGACGATTGAAGAGGATCGCAGGAAGGAGGCGGATCGCACGAAGGTGGAGACGGCGAGGCGAGTCGCCCACTGTCTCAAGGGCTACGCCCACTGGGAAGTGAAGGCGCAGGAGAAACTCACACTGCGTGAGTTTGAATTGCGCGCAGCCGGGTTGTTGTCAGGCGACAGTAGGAGTCGGCGGAAGGTAGCGAAGAAGCTCGAGGCCTTTCTGTCGAAGGCACAGGATACCATGTCCGCCCTCGAGGGGGAGGTGTCCGCGGCGTTGCAGCGGTTGGGACTGTGCAGTCGAGCGGAAGAGTGGCAGGGTAGGGAGTTAGTGCGCGGCAGTCGGCCGCGCAGGAGACGTAGTACAGGTTCCGCGGAGTGTAGTGTAGCGTGGTTCCGTGCAGGCGTGTAGCGTAGTGCAGTGTAGTGTTAGGTAGGACTTAGAAGGTATAAAATAGTTCCAGGCGTTTTGCCTGGGGTTCTTTCCCATCAGAAGTGCAGATCAGGAACCCATTTCCTTTGCGTGTTTGTGTCCTTGAGTTCTGTCACCACGCAGGAGGAGTTACAACTTAGCGTTCCGCATTTTGTAGCTGAAGGCCTTCGGCCGAATGTTCAGAGCTAGTACATTGGTTAGAGACTTGAGTAGTTCGGATCTGCACCTGCGGGTGACTGCCGATGCTCAGAGCCAGTGACTAGTTAGATACTTGAACAGTTTCGCCCCTACACCTTCGAGTGTTTCTTTCTGATTGTACTCCTTGGGATTTTTCCCCTGAATGCCAAAGTGAAGTTTTGCTACTTCGTGTAAGCCTTGGTTGTAAATTCAGGTTACGCTGCAGCAGGTGCCTTGAGGGTAACCCCTGTAGTATTTCTGGGAATGACAAGTGCCTGAGAATTCAAACTCTTCAATAGACTGTTGTTGTGTTACTGGAATGTTTCACAGCGAGTCCTTCAGTGCGGACCTGTGTTCTCTGCGCGTTTTGTGAGTTGAGAGTGTTGTTCACCGCGTATGAGTGACTTCGATCCGAAGTAGGCAGTCCAAACCGGGTTTCCTACACTAGCAGCAAGCTAGTGGAAGTGTTGTAAAAGCCGGAGTTGGAAGTCACTGCCCGCAGCTTTGCCGAGTGTGCTCGCGAGAGACTTTCCCCCTGAAATCTTGAAGTAGAGGTCCTAACGGATCTCTGGGTTGTGTTTCTGTAGTTTCAGGTGTGTGTGTGTGTGTGTGTGTGTTACGCTGCACTGTGCGACCTCCGAGTGCGCTCCGAGTGGACACTTGCAGTATTTCTGGGAGTGACAGTTGCCTGAGAATTCAAACTCCTCAATAGTCTGTTAAAACGTGACACTTTGTACCCTGTGTGTTCCTCTGTCCCTGTGGGATCGACCTTTCTACCACTATATTGCAGTTTTAGCCTTTAGTGGGTTATTACAGAAACATGCACGCCTTTCGATTCTAAGAGAGCACATGCTAATGATTTCAACATAATGATGATGTATCATGGATCTTATCTGGCTAAATTTTACGTTTGAAAGCTGGAGCTCCAGCGATTTGTATATCAGAGCCGGACGAGTACGACGATTCAACACTATCTGAAAGTTGGACACAACATTATTGAAACGTATTTCCGACATAAATTTACATAAGCAATATTGTATTGAGTTTTTGAATTATGAAACAAAGTTTTAGGTTTACAAGTGATGACTAAATCAAAAGATGTTGCAAAAGATGCTACTTGAAGTAAAAGTAGCTGAATCAAACAAATTAAATCTTATATTGCTAGAAACTTTAGAATTACTCTGCACGTTTATTGTCTAATATGATTTCAAAAACGCCCACAATATGGGCTTGTTTCTTTGTCTACCTCTAAGTTAAACCCTTCTAATGCCAAATGAAGACATATCCACCACAGAAAACAATCCCAAAATATGTAATTCCAAACACAAAAATCTTCAAAACTTGCGGCAAATGACAATGTTGAACTAAATAAATGTGAATCTTATAATTTTGAGTATATAACGCATATCTAAGCAGGAGGATACTGTTCACTCCCTTTGGCTGTTCTCTTATCTTTTCTTGCACTGATACTGCCTCTGCATCCCCTCTAGATGTCAAGTCGCTTTTGTCGATGTTTGACGGTGACTTCTTGGGCATTGTGGACAATATCTTTAGTTCTTAAAATTTTTATTTAGATTTTTCACACATGAACGTAAATAACTTGAAATTTCAAGTTAATTTATTCCATTAAGTGAAATTTCACTAATGGACAGACATACATATCATATATGAAGACATGAAAACAGAGATATTTTACTTTGAACTCCTAAATTTGTGTTGCTGATATCTTCGATGAACTATACTTTATAGTGATAAACTAATTAGCTTAACTGAGTAAGATTAAACTAAAATTTATTAATCAAGAACTGATTTTATCATTTACAGAAATTACATAGTTTTACATTTCTATTTTCATAAAATTATTATTAGAATCTAGTTCATTGGTAGATTTGATTTCATTATTATTTTGATTCCATATGATACACACATTTTTCAAGTCATATTGTAGAGTTTCAAGTGAATATAGTTAGTTGTATACAACAAATATAAAGTATCAAAAAGTAAATATGAAAGTTTTCACTTCGAAATCAGTAGTTAAATATCTTTGGCAGCAAATATGACAAAAGAGGAAATCTCCAAATTACCAATGCACATTTCTTGGGTAAAATTCGTGAGCAAACAAGATGGTAAACTCGTGGTATTTAGTCATCAGTAATTCTCAGAGTTCAATGATGAAAACACTATAGCACATGGAGTCTATAACACTAGGCTAATGGGCATAGATAGATTAGAATATGTTCCCACAAAGACGTTTTCCGAAACAAACAAAAGTATAATCTCATACACTGATTGCTATTACTTGCCTCACTTAGCTTACGGATCAATCTCTAACGCCTTCCTCGTAAATTTGGAGGTTTCTTCTACCAAGTGTAATATCAATTTACAGCATGAAATGTGCATTGCTAAAATGCACATGAATGCACCCTTCGGCCACTTCAATGCAATTCCATCCACAGGTGTTGTGATGTTTCGGTGCTTACCTGGAATAATTGAACTCGTGAGATTGTTCGGCACGCACCGAACACGTGAGATCTCCACAGTGTTATGCACACTTTGGGGAGCATGGCTGAGGATGAGGAGTTGAATATTGTCGGGATAGCACCTGGATTTGATTGCAGGTGTCTACCGCAAGGACGGTGCAAACATCCTCCGGGTGTATCTGGGGAAGACATTCCTCACAGGTACAAGTGCAAACAATGTTCACGTCAGCGTTCCGCTCTGAAGCTTGGAGACAAAATTGAAAGCAAGGTCAACGCAAGCTCAGATAAAAACGAGCTTCTCTTCAATTAAAACAGCTCAAACAAAGCGACCTTTCGACCGCTTTTGGGGCTACCTTGAAGACACTGACCGGCCTTCAGCTGGAAATTCTGAAACTCAGTTCTAAATTCCACCAATTAAGCTGCTAATACAAAAAACAAAGATGAGTACAACATGCCAGTACAGATTCATGTGGTAGATTCAGGCTGCGTGTTTGCCTTGATCTGATTGTGGCCGACACACTCCGTGCTTAGAATGGGAACTAGAAAGAATCTATCGTCGTCACAAGGTTGAAGGTTTGCTCATGGCGACTGGACCCTTGTTATAAGTTCAGGGCTTTTGCGGTCCATAATCAACCTGTCTTCCACTTTCGGAGCCATTACAATCTCACCTTCCTCTCATACTGCCTCGTATTCTGAGCATCTCGAAGATCCAGCTGAATGTGCTCATAAGTCTACGAGGAATTTGAGGCGTATCCAACATTCTGACCCGCCTAGATATGCTCTAAGAGCGTCTACATCTGCTGCGTCTCATCAGCGAGCCCGGTAGAAGTACCAATAGTAGCGGAATTCTAAGCGAGCCAAGATGGTGGAAATATTCAGCGTGCCTGCGTTCTTCATCCTCTTCCGTGAGACGCTGGAGGCGTCGATCATTCTGTCCGTGATGCTTTCTCTGCTGAAGAAGGTCGTTCCAGACAGGGCCATGCTCAGGAACCTGCAGAAGCAAGTGTGGGGTGGGGTCGTTCTCGGCGTGGTGCTGTCGCTGGTGTCCGCCGCCATCTTCCTGTCGCTGTATTATACTGTGGCCAAGGAGGCCTGGGACAACACTGAAGCTCTATGGGAGGGGATTCTGAGCCTGATCGCCGTGGTGCTCATCACGCTCATGGCCTTCTCCATGATCAGAGTGGACACATGGAGGGCGAAATGGGAGAAGAAGCTGACCAAGGTCACGGTGGACAGCGTGGAGAAGTACGGCACTCTGCAGAGCACGAGAAGCAAGTACACGCTCTTCCTGATCCCGTTCACCATCGTCCTGCGCGAGGGCGTGGAGGCCGTGATCTTCCTGGGAGGGATCGGGCTGGAAGGCTCGGGCACAGCGTACCCTCTGGCAGCCATCACCGGAGCATTGTGCGGGATAGCCATCGGGTTCGTGCTGTACAAGGGAGGCAACCATGTGGCATTCAAGTGGTTCCTGGGAGCGTCGACGGCGTTGCTGCTGGTGATCGCGGCCGGTCTGTTCGCAGGGGCCGTGCACGAGTTCGAGGAGTACACGGAGAACGAGAAGATGGTGTGGAAGCTGCACTGCTGCCACCACAAAGGAAACGGCATCTGGAAGCTGCTGAACGCTGTGGTGGGATGGCGCGACGAGGCGACAGTGGGAACTCTGACTTCGTACTTCATGTACTGGGCTTTCGTTATCGTTACGTTCATTGTTCTGCGTTTGAAATGGAACAGAGAGGCCGAGGCAGCAAGGCGTGAATCAGCCACTCCAGCGTCGATCAATCCTGTATAAGAGGGAAATCCCTACATTGATCGTTCACCACATGCAAGCAAGAGGGCTTGAAAGGTTTGTATACCGCAACACACTGGTTATATTATCGCAAATGTTCTATATAACCGATTAGACAATAATGGACTCCTCAAGCTAGTGCAAGCTTCTTGTATTAAGCTGATGGGAGCAAAGTTTTTGTGACATTTCCCAGAGGGAGAGAAGCGATGTAAACAGGTATCTTCATGGCCATACTAAAGTCACATCCTAGAGGCTGCCAGTGTTCTAGCTAATGACACCCTCCTGGGTGTCATTAGCTAAGAGCTGCTGGAACTCTTCGTTGGTGTTGCTGAGCAATGGCATGTGATATGACCCCACGGTGTACTTGTCCCGTACCCAAGGAGGTCCACATTGACTGATACAAGTAGCTTATATTCAGATTGAAATACTCTTGCTCTCTTACTGGCCTTGGATAAAGGAACATGCCCCTACTCTCCGATAGTAGATTTCATGGTCTGAAAAACTGATAAACTTCACAGCAGGAGGCCATCTAGTAAATAGGTACAGGACACGTGGTGCAGATTCGGAACTTGAGTTCTTCTGTTCTGATCTGCTTGTGAAATTTAGCATTCGGTTCACTCACCTGTATGGGTTGTTAAAAGCTCAATAAAGCGACTTCGTCACTATTATTACGTCGAAACTATGAATGTCTACATAGACCAAGTTGATGATGTCTCCTGAGCGCTTCGAAATCAAAGCTGCCGGCACTTATTTCCAGAAGGCTACCCCACGAATCAATAGCTCGACGATGAGTTTTGAAACATGTTATGGCATTAGACAGGATGATGCGTTTGATGAAGGAGATCGATTGATGGGATCCACAATTTTGTTTCGTGGAAGCGGAACTGTCCATGTGTCTCGGACACATGAGAACTTGAGATGTGTCCGACACAAATTGAAACCTTTGCATCCATCCGACACACATTTCATGCAAAGATGCAGGATTTTTCATGCAAGGATTAAGTAGATTGAAGCTCAGCATCACGATAATATGAAGCAAGTACATCGAAGAAGATCAATCAATCTCTTCTGCTCGAGGCAAAATTAATCGGAGAAGGACGATTTGAGGCGACAAAGAAGCCCATGAGTGTGTCACGAGGCAGTGAGTAGTGGAAACCCTTGTGGCTTGCGAATTTCACTATATAATCTATCACGCTCTTGTGGGTGTTGGCAGGTACCATATGGAGGTTTATCTACCTCGTCCAGCTTATCATCTTGTGACAACCATTCATCACCGCAAACAAGTCAAAAGAGGGAGCTTAGTCATTTTTTTGTGCACCATTCCTTGATAATTGTATCTGACTTGAAGAATAACACAGAGTGTTTACTTCATGGCCAGAGCTTCCGTTGTTGAGTTTACTGCTCGCCTGTCCAAAACCCACGCCAGATTATTGAGAGGGCTGCAACTGAACGGGCGCTCTTTGCTGAGATTGAGAACCATGTCTTGTGCTGGTTGCTTTGCAACCGGAGTGGTAAGCCCGATTGAGGTTGTACCATTCATAAAATCATTACCAAAAAATGAGGTGGTTGAAGATCACCGCCGGCATGGATAGTGACGGGTCTGACATTCCACTGGCTGCTACGGTGAAATTATAAGCAGACTGACAGAAGTCCTTTGAATAGCTTACCACCTGCAAGTACATGTAAGAGAGTTTAAATTTGCCAACAGTTTCTGAAATTCGTTGATTTTACAACAGGTACTGACAACCTCCTTAGGCTAAAGAAATTTGTAATATTTTGGAATGCTAGTATGCTCGCCTTGACGTCGTCTTTTGGTTAAAAAGCATTAACCAAAGTATCATTGTCATTCAGTAACAATTACATACATTATTTGTCTTGACGTTCTTCTTGATATTGTGCTCAGCGTCCAAATGACTCGAGAGTATGCTTGTCTTCATGGTTCTCAAGTACTATGAAGGGTTTTTCTTGGGAAACCCTTGCAAAGCAATCTATTGAGTTCTTTGCCAATCTCTTTCATCAACTTAAAATCTGACAAAGCCATATCCATACTTAAGATGCTTCTTTCAGTCATGTTTTGGTTGTCATTGTCTTGCTACCGGAGCTAGAAGTTTCGTGTTAAATGCTAAACATTGAAACCTGATTGTGTAACGATGCAACGATAGTGTTCGTAATAAAATGGTTAAATAATTGAATGTGCATATAAGAATGCATGCAAAAGACTGAATAGAGTGCGTATTTCAATTTGTGATATATAAATGCTTATTTCTTCCACTCTTGAGCCTGATCCACGTTCTGAATAGGTGAAGTACGAGGGTATAAGTACCATGGACATATTATGTGTTTGAACGGTTGGCTAAATTGTTGAAATCGTCTGCCAGCTTAGCTAGTCTCGACATTTTACTGATTTATCTTTAAATTCGAGTCTGGTCATCATAACAAACGTAGAGAGGGAATCGTCTCCTCTTCAGGATTATCATATTCTTAAAAATTGAGCTTCCGTAGACTTATTGTTACTCATGTTATAAGATCCTACACCATTGTAATTAACATGTGGAAGTGTCATGTGAATGCATTTCAATACTCATGTGTGTGTTTTCATTATCCATGACCCATGTTCCACACTCTCACCTGCTCTAAAGTTTTATAAAAACCATCGTGAAAATATCAAAAACATTGTCTTCAAGCGCTTGAGGATGTCTGCTGACAAAAATGTAGAAATGAAAACTTGGCTTCAAGAATTCTAAAAAATATATTATCAGAATGCTAACCTCTCTCAAAAATTTATTATAGTTATATGTCAAAGGACCAATGAGTAGATAAGTTTTAGTTATCTGAGAGCGTAGAGACAAAGAATGGATCCAATTATTCCTACATCTCTTCGGTGCCGAATACAAACCATGGATTAGAAGTCAGTTATATAAGACACAGGACATAAATCTTGAACTTCAAATTGCTGTTCTGTCCTTCACGAAACCCACTGTAAACGAATCTTACACTGTCGTATTCGAGGCACATCTGTGTAAAACGCTCAATTTTGGTGTGTGTAGGTGTAGGTCGGAAGGAGCATTATGATATTCGTCGGCTACATTTTGCCAGTTTTACGACATGAGAGCGTAGGCCACACAGAAATCGAATTCAATTTGCCGTGAATTACAAGAGAGAACCGTCTGGCTTCGTCTGATAGTTTTGTTAATTAGCTTCTGCACAACTCAAGGCCTCATTCTCCGTTGGATGTCTAAGCTCTTGCCCGGATTATATCAAGGTCATCATGCTCGGTCGCATCGAGCTCAATTCGACTTAGCACAGTTCACAGAGCTCAGATTAGGCAGTCTATCGCCGCCTCGGTCTGTTTTATGAAGTGGTATTCATAAAAATGATCTCGTTTTCAGTGTAATAATTTCTTCGTGTGTATCGAATGAACTAGCTTCGATCATTCGACCTAGTCCAAACTCGGTCTCAATATTATTTCTATCGCACAGCCCAACAGATCAGCAATCGTAGAGCAATTTATTTTACAACTTCTTGGCTCGGGTGAGGTAATTGTAATAACCCACTAAAGGCTAAAACTGCAATATAGTGGTAGAAAGGTCGAACCCACAGGGACAGAGGAACACACAGGGTACAAAGTGTCACGTTTTAACAGACTATTGAGGAGTTTGAATTCTCAGGCAACTGTCACTCCCAGAAATACTGCAAGTGTCCACTCGGAGCGCACTCGGAGGTCGCACAGTGCAGCGTAACACACACACACACACACCTGAAACTACAGAAACACAACCCAAAGATCCGTTAGGACCTCTACTCAAGATTTCAGGGGGGGAAAGTCTCTCGCGAGCACACTCGGCGAAGCTGCGGGTAGTGACTTCCAACTCCGGCTTTTACAACACTTCCACTAGCTTGCTGCTAGTGTAGGAAACCCGGTTTGGACTGCCTACTTCGGATCGAAGTCACTCATACGCGGTGAACAACACTCTCAACTCACAAAACGCGCAGAGAACACAGGTCCGCACTGAAGGACTCACTGAGAAACATTCCAGTAACACAACAACAGTCTATTGAAGAGTTTGAATTCTCAGGCACTTGTCATTCCCAGAAATACTACAGGGGTTACCCTCAAGGCACCTGCTGCAGCGTAACCTGAATTTACAACCAAGGCTTACACGAAGTAGCAAAACTTCACTTTGGCATTCAGGGGAAAAATCCCAAGGAGTACAATCAGAAAGAAACACTCGAAGGTGTAGGGGCGAAACTGTTCAAGTATCTAACTAGTCACTGGCTCTGAGCATCGGCAGTCACCCGCAGGTGTAGATCCGAACTACTCAAGTCTCTAACCAATGTACTAGCTCTGAACATTCGGCCGAAGGCCTTCAGCTACAAAATGCGGAACGCTAAGTTGTAACTCATCGTGCGTGGTGACAAAACTCAAGGACACAAACACGCAAAGTAAATGGGTTCCTGATCTATACTTCTGATGGGAAAGAACCCCAGGCAAAACGCCTGGAACTAATTTATATCTTCTAAGTCCTAACTAGCACTACACTGCACTACGCTACACGCCTGCACGGAACCACGCTACACTACACTCCGCGGAACCTGTGCTACGTCTCCTGCGCGGCGGACTGCCGCGCACTAACTCCCTACCCTGCCAGTCTTCCGCTCGACTGCGCAGTCCCAATCGCTGCAACGCCGCGGACACCTCCACTTCGAGGGCGGACATGGTATCCTGCGCCTTCGACAGAAAAGCATCGAGCTTCTTTGCTACCTTCCGCCGACTCCTACTGTCGCCTGACAACAACCCGGCTGCGCGAAGTTCAAACTCACGCAGTGTGAGTTTCTCCTGCGCCTTCACTTCCCAGTGGGCGTAGCCCTTGAGATAGTGGGCGACACGCCTTGCCGTCTCCTCCTTTGTGCGATCTGCCTCCTTCCTGCGATCCTCTTCAACTATCACTAATTGCGATTCGGCCTCAGCACATTGCGCTCTCAATTCGCCACACTCTGACTGTAGCCTGCGGATTACCTCCTCATCCGCCTGCCGTGCGAGCTGACACTGTTCCAACAACCGCGTCTGTCGCACGAGCTCCTCTGACAAAATCCGATTCTGGGCCTGCTCAGAAATTAGTGCTTCTGTGACCTTCACCTGCTCCTTGGTGAGCTCTTCCAGTTTCCCATCCCTCACCTTCTCGGAGTACTTGTAGAATTTCTGATTAAGTTTATACTGACCCCACAAGCATTCATGCTTCTCCTTCAATTCCCTCAACTCCTGGTCCACTCTAGCTAATAGCTTGCTGGTGTGGACTTTAGTGCGAGTCCGCCTGCGCACTAACTCGATGTAAGATCCCGGCTGAAGTGGGTCGGCGTATTTATCGACTTTGCGATCCAAGTACCTCAGCAACGGAATCACCTGCTCAGAGAGCGCCGCCGCCGGCGCTCCAACAATTTCCTCCTCCTCCTCCTCGGTGTCCCCTGCTCCTGACATTTCTTCGGTGGAGCCTCCGTCGTCATCATCCGAGTGGAGAATTTCAGTCGCCATTGATTGCGTCGGCGACTGACCCGAGTGGGGCTGCACGTCGTCGACGTGTGCTGCCTGCGAAGGCACGGCTGCAGCCTCGCTGCTCTTCGCCAAAATGTCTAAGGCGGTAGGCGAATGTGCCCGTGCGGCATCCCCGCCGCTCGCTTGTTGGTCGTCTACCGTGTCCTCTCTGCCGCCGACGCCCGCCGCCGAAGGCGATCGAGCGGAGGGTGGCTGCGCGGGGTTTGATTGCGCATCGCGCATCGAAATTTCATCCCGCGGACAGTCACTCCGCTCCATCGTCTGTTGCTGCTCCCTTGATCGGTCCGCGGGGGCTGTGCTTGGCCTGTGCGCAGGCGCAAATGCCGGCGCCTTGTCCGCCGCAGGCGTAGCGCCGCGGACGTCCATCGCCAAAGGCGACATGGCCGGGGGCCGCTCGCCCGATGTCCCTTGGCCCTGAGGCCCTACCGCCGAAGGCGCATCTTCCGGCGGATTACCCGCCGATAGTGTGGCCTCCGCACACTCCCTGCTCGTATCTCCTCGGCTCGAAGGCCCTAGCGCCGAAGGCGCAAATTGCGGCGCGTGGTGCGCCGGAGGGTCTGGCCCCGAGGGCCGGTGTCTCGTAGGCGGCTCTTCCGCCGGCTCCTTCCCCTTCCTACGTTGGAACGGGGGTGATTCCTGCCTGTGCACAGGCGGCACGTGTGGAGGTGACCTGTGCACAGGCGACCTGTGCACAGGCGAGCGCCTGTGCACAGGCGGACTGCTCCTTCCCACGCGTAAGCGTAGATCTACGTCCACTTGTGATCGTCTGTCCGCGGAGGCTCGTCCGTCCGCGGAGTCTCGTCTGTGCGCAAACGGAACACCTGTCCGCAACGCACGTGGTAACTCCGGAGGCCCTTGGCCCGTAGGCGGCCTCACGCCCGTCGAGGCTGCAGCGTGGTCCGTTGCTCCTGCGGTCGTCCGCGCTTCCTCATGCTTCTCTGGCGACGCACTTCCTTTCTCCGTCGCAATCGTCGCTGTGTCCGCACTGTTGGCTGGTAACACCAGTCTGCGTGCCTTCTGCTTCGGCCGGCTGTATGACTCGTACAACGGCCGCGGTCGAATGGGAGCAGAGGGTTCTTGATGTTGCTCCTCTTCGGACTCTTCTCTCCATCGCCGCTTCCGCGGCACTCGTGCTGCAGGAGTGTTTCTCCCTTCGTCCCTCCGCCTTGATGGGGTAGAAGTCGGTGACTCCTCTGCATCAGTGTCGACCTCATTCTCCCGCACATACTTCCCGGGATGGTCGACGGACAACGGCGGAAAATGCTCAAGCTCCGCCGCTGTCAAACAATTCCGCTGTCGATAAAAATTGATGAGGAAAGGAGAGAGATGGTTTAGAGTCCCCCCCTTCTCCTCAAAAGCGTGCTGTCGCATCACCCTGTGCAGGATGCTCGCCCAGTGAATTGGAGTTCCCTCGATGACGCACTCCACAAAAGAGACCTGCCACAATGTGATGTAGCAGGCGCGGTGTGGCTGCAGTAATTGCATAAGCGCCGCGGACAAAGTCCGGCGAAATCGATCCTTGTAATCACGGGTCCTGTACCCATTCTTGGTAGACCTCCCGGTCTTGAACAGCTCCACAAATTGCGCCTCTTCCTGCTTGGTCACCTTGATGCTCTCACTGTCGAAGAGGAGATGCCCTGGCATGCCGGCACATCTTCCCAATGCCTGCGCCCAATCTTGGACTGTCCACCGATCAACATGCGGACGCAATCCGCGCGAGGGTGGTCCCTGTGGCTCTAGCCACTCGCGCACCATATTCGCACAGATGTAGTTCCATCCCCATAGCAAGAAATCGAGCTTTCTTGCTATTAAGCGCTCCTCGAAAGCGCGCAGCCCGTTCTGTGGTAGGCGAAGCGGCACCATCCGCAATCTGCCCGGTCTCGTCATTGCGTTCCTGGAGTTCGCTCGCCCGCTCATTCTACTTCCGCACCGCTCGAGCTCCTTTCTCTCTCGGCAAACTCTAATCGCCCTCAATTCCAAATCACGCGCACTCACTTCTCCCTCAATCACCAAGAAATCCCCTGTGTGGCGACGTCGAGAATGTTTAGCAGCCAGCAGATGGACGCGCGCAGCGCGCACAAGAGATTGGAATCGCGAATTCAAGAATGGGACGCTCTCCGCCGCCCGGTCGAAGGTCATGGTCGGCTCTTGCTCGTGGAGGACGTCTCACTTGATGGCCGCGCCGGCTCTACGCTGGAACGGTCTCCGCTCTCACGCGCGGCTTCACGCTCCGCCGTCGCCGATTAAACTCTCACGCTCGAATTGGCGGATTTGAACTCCGCGAGCGTATTACCCCGCGGACATGGAAGCGCAGCGCCGAAGGCGAGTTTTCCGCCTTGCGCGGTACACTTGTTCGTACCGCCCCTCGGCCAATCCCCTTCTGCCTCGACGCGTGTGTCCGCATGTCGGACAAAAGTTCAACTCCTGCCTGTGCGCAGGCAGACTCCTCGGCGGATTCTCCGCCGGCGCGGAACTTCATTCTCCTGTGCACAGGCGCTCCCTGTGCGCAGGCGAATTCCGTCCGCGGCGTCGCGCTGGCGCGAAAGGCGTTGACCGTGGTCAGCCGTCTCCGTCCAGACTGTCCGTTGCTTGTCTCTTCGTCGGCGCTTCCGCCGTCGCAACTCCGTCCGTCCAAGAGCACATCCACCCGTCCCGTCCGCATGGTCCGTACGGATTTGATTACTCTGGCGGCTCCTTGCTCGTCCGCGGCGCCGCGCTGGCGCAGAAGGCGCCGTACACTTTCTACCTCACAAGGCGCATTTCTAGGGCCCAAGGCGGATTTTCCGCCGACGCCGAAGCGCCTGTGCACAGGCGCACGCCTGTGCGTAGGCGGACTTCGCGCCTCCCCAAACCCTACTTCGCCTGTGCACAGGCGAACTTCCTTCGTCCGCGCATAGGACAAAACTTGATTCCCCCTTCCGCGTAGGCGGAATTCCCGCCGGTGGCGAACTCCTTCCGCCGAAGGCGAACGTCTACGTATCTTCCAATAGTGATAACTCCCTAAGTCCTCATCCGTTCCAAGCGTTCTTGGACTCGTTGGAATCAGTGCGTCGAGCTCTTTCCAACGAGACCCTAACTCGGTCAAGGCGCCCGAGGGTTGACCTAATTATGAAGGATCTCCCTACCGCCGCGAACGCAACCTCCGAAGGCGGGTTTTGCGCCTTGCGCCGCAGGGATCCTAACTGCAGAGCTCGCAGGGAGGGTGGTGCCCATCCTTACTGCTGCACCCCAAATCCTAGATTCTACAAGATCCCTCGAGAATCCCCGCGATCTTCCGGATTCACTCTGTTTTGATGTACCGAAGGCTATTTACAATGCTGCCAGGGTACAGTTTTTTCCAAAAATGTTTTAATTTCCTCAAAATTACCAAAAGTGGGGTACCACAGTAATCAATAGAATAGAGTGAAAAAGTGAAAGTAGAGTCTCTCTTTTATTTTTGAATTAGGATGTGGCTACCATCCAGCAGGATCCACTTGTAGGGTGGAACGAGATCGAAAACGTTGGAGTTGAGTACATTACACATTTCATGAATCTCGAGACCCAGAAATTTGTCCCGAACGTCATCTGCTCAGTTTAACCGAGTCATGGTCGATCGTCCGTTCTTGACATGTGCAGACGACGGCTGGTATTATGAAAGGCCTTTCAAGTTTGAGTACGTCGTTGCTTTGGCAAGTCATCTCTGCCAGACCGTGAAGACCCTGTACATCAGCAAATCATCCTTGCGTGTCAGCATTTACATCCCTGGACATGAATATTTTTGCGGTGAGCATTTACATCCCTGGACATGAATATTTTTGCGGTGATCAAGGGCTCTGGGTTCTGTAAAGTCCAAATGTCTCCACCTTTTTCTAACATGAGAACGGCTCAAGTCGAACATATGCTGGACACAATCCCAGCATCTGATACGTAACATGGGAATACCATTCGCTGGCATCCTCAACCAAATGACAGGATCATGAGAAATCCAAAAGGTTCTTTTGGAACCACTTGCAATTTTCAGTATCGACGGTTTGAATAACACCTGCCCGTGGATGCAGGTGAGAACCTGACAGACATCACTTAGACGGGTCTGAAAGCCACAATTACAAAGTTCATGCGGTGCAACCGACGATGATACAAAAGGAGCCCACCAGTAATCTCTTCTCGGCCAAACATTCCGTGTCGAAGACTGATCCCCACTTCGGATTCGAAAGTCAACGCACTATACAGCCGACAAGAATATTTGATGCAGTCACTTTGAGATCCGTAACTGGCTCCTGAACCTTCAAATGCTATCCGATTTCGGTGGATAAGTTATTATTTTGATGCTAAAATACATAAATTTGTGCTTGATATTGCCAGCTAGCGATGTGCTACTGCACTTGCAAGTCTGCGAACGCTGCGTGCCGGGGTCTTCTCGCGTGTGTCCGACATACTCCAGCCGGCCCCACTGAAGTTTGCTGAAAGATCTTCAGGGGTCGCTCATTCATCTCCTGGTTTTGACTTCAGATGAATTGGTATAAATTGAGGGACCTGAATACATCCTCATCCTGTCTTGTACTGTCGGCGCATCTGGGATCTGGTTTATGATCGACAGGAGCTTTTAGTATCACCTCGCTCTGCGTGTCGCGGAACAAGGTGCATCCAAAGCTGCAGCTGCACTCGAGGATTATGCCTCTTTAGCATCGAGTGAAATCTTCTCCATCGGCCATTCTGACCTGCATAGATATGACCTAGAGACCCTCTGTTGGATCTTGTCTGCCTGCACCGGAAACACTCTGCAAATCCGAATCAGTCGACACCGCAGTCAGCCAAGATGGTGGAAGTATTCAGCGTGCCTGCGTTCTTCATCCTCTTCCGTGAGACGCTGGAGGCGTCGATCATCCTGTCCGTGATGCTTTCTCTGCTCAAGAAGGTCGTTCCAGACAGGGCCATGCTCAGGAACCTGCAGAAGCAAGTGTGGGGTGGGGTCGTTCTCGGCGTGGTGCTGTCGCTGGTGGCCGCCGCCATCTTCCTGTCCCTGTATTATACTGTGGCCAAGGAGGCCTGGGACAACACCGAAGCTCTGTGGGAGGGGATTCTGAGCCTGATCGCCGTGGTGCTCATCACGCTCATGGCCTTCTCCATGATCAGAGTGGACACATGGAGGGCGAAATGGGAGAAGAAGCTGACCAAGGTCACGGTGGACAGCGTGGAGAAGTACGGCACTCTGCAGAGCACGAGAAGCAAGTACACGCTCTTCCTGATCCCGTTCACCATCGTCCTGCGCGAGGGCGTGGAGGCCGTGATCTTCCTGGGAGGGATCGGACTGGAAGGCTCGGGCACAGCGTACCCTCTGGCAGCCATCACCGGAGCATTGTGCGGGATAGCCATCGGGTTCGTGCTGTACAAGGGAGGCAACCATGTGGCGTTCAAGTGGTTCCTCGGAGCGTCGACGGTGTTGCTGCTGGTGATCGCGGCCGGTCTGTTCGCCGGGGCCGTGCACGAGTTCGAGGAGTACACGGAGAACGAGAAGATGGTGTGGAAGCTGCACTGCTGCCACCACAAAGGAAATGGCATCTGGAAGCTGCTGAACGCTGTGGTGGGATGGCGCGACGAGGCGACAGTGGGAACTCTGACTTCGTACTTCATGTACTGGGCCTTCGTGCTGGTCTCGTTGCTTGTCTTGAGAGTGAAATGGAACAGAGAGGCAGAGCGTAATGCAGCCGAAGAGAGGATGGAAGCTGGCACTCGACCTTCTGTTTTCCCAGTATAGGACGTCGATCACGGGTGCTTGCATGATTTACAGCTCTCGTCTTCAGATGAGGCAAAGCATTCTGCCTGGGATCATGAAATAATAGGATATTGTTTTCGACATAAAGCAATCACAGTGCCTTCCTGGTGGCGTTTGATGCTATGAAGGGTGTCTACTTAATCCTCCTTTGGGCAGAATTGATTGACTTATCAGAGTAGACAGCGATCTTGTCATTGGCGATCGCTATATTGCAGTTTTCTTTCGATATAACGTTGTGGTTCGTGAGTGGTGTTCGAGCGTGGTGTTCGTGTCGGGGTCATTTGATCCTTGCTTTAAGAATTATTTCTTGGGTTCAGGAAATCATGTTTCCCTGAGGTTCACTTGTCCAGTACCTGATCAACTTTCAGACGCTGTCCCTCTCGATGACATCCCTGAGTGGACGAACGTAGTATCTATTCTTCTCTTCCTCTGAGAAAATACTCTATAGCTTTATGATTTCCTGGTAGAATTGATCAAGGACGGTGTGTTCTAGACGAGGAAAAAGAAGCCACGGGCTTGATGGACGCAATGTAAAGTGACAGTTAGTGAGTTGGTTCCGGAACTTAGTGTTTCATCAGATCCTTTGTTAAGTTGATGTTTTATATATGACACGATGAAGGCAACATGTTTGTACTTCTCATCATATCCACAATTGATCATTTCGAACTTGTTGAAAAACAGATTTTTTTTTCTATTTTCGAAATATATACTTCTTATTGTTAACTGGGCTCTACAAACGCCTTTTCCTAAGAATGAAACTATAGTTTGTTTGACTATTATCTATCAAGCTCAAATCCAGAGGCCCAAGATTGTTCATGGGCTAATCCACTTTGAAAGGATGAATAGAACTATGACATGTTGAAGACAAAGAGTTGCAACGCAATGAGTTGATAGAATCTGCAAATGTGGATCATCAAGAATGAACGTACTAGAGCAACGTGTATCCCTTCTCTGAGACTTTCCATCCCGTCAGAGCAGTAGACAAGGTCTACTTAGATGACTTCTAAAGGCCCTGTCTAAGATGTATAAACGAATACGATAATGACAGTTGTGAAGAAAAATGTGCATCGCCGAGTTCTTAGTGACATCAAATCCATGAAGGGCTCCACTTGAGATCAAGTTGGTAGGAAGCTTTAGACTTCCGATTGTTCTGGACTCAAAATAACTCAGTGCACTGTACATTAAGGTAATTCGAGAAGGAAAAGCTGAGTTGCGGTATGGTAGCTGTAAAAAAATGATCCCAAAACTATGTAGCTGAAGCAAGTAATTCAATGAGCTAACATTTCCACAGGTCTTCTTCACTGCAGTAGGTTTTACAACTGCTATTCGTTCATGTCGTATACGCCAGTGCAGTTTTTACGACAGTCATGAAGCACTTACAAGAGCAGCATAAATGAAAAGTAGTGATTGATTTAAGTATTTGACGGTTCAAAAAAATTGCTTAAGGAGCCTATCGTTAAACTTGCTGCTCAATTCCAACTTCAAAGTGAGCAGCGCTCTCGAACATTCAGATTTAGAGGTCGTGGATACTGAGACTAACTTGGGGACAATAGCGGCTCTGGTCCTTCAATAAAGCTATTAAGTTCATGCTCTTTTTTTACGTGCTGTTGTTTGCCATAAGATACAAAAGTTAGAACCCATACTAGTCTGTAATTAAATTCTGCTTGGAGCCATCGATCATAGAATCTCACAAACGAAGTCAACGAATTTGAAAGTTTAGAAGGCGTCCTCTCATGGCACGAGTCTTTTGCTTCATAGATCTCATCCTCTTTACAAGAATACTTTTCGCGCCAGATGGTATCGAGAGATGAAATGAGATGAAATTCTAGTAGGAACAACTTCGAGGTAGCTCCAGCTGTTGAAGAGTCCGATTGATTGTCCTGTTTTTGCATCCCTAAAATGGAGTGTAATGTGACTTTCTAGATGTAGGCCTTTCCTAATCAGCTGCATCTAAGTCGCTACTGATTGCATCTGATAATTGAGCATGTTTACTCGTTTGAAACAAGCACTTGAATGCTGGTGGAAGTATTCTTTGTTCCTGCAGTTTCATTCATTTTCTCTTCTCAGGTGGATCTCTATTCCATTACTCTACTGTGGTAACACACTTTTTGTTTTTTTTGCAGAATTTAAACGATTTTAGAAAACAAGTACCGAAGCAGTGTCTGTAGTTAGAAAATGGTACGTTAAATAGAGTGGATTGAGGAGATCGTCACGAGGTAACGAAGAAGCGCGAAGTTGGACGTACCAGCGCCAAATGTCTTCGGCGCCTTCGGCAAGATCTCCTTTGCTGAGGTGTCTCTACTCACGCGCTTCTAGCGTTTAGGGAAGTTACGCTTCCGACGTAGACACCTCCGGAGGAGATCTCGCTAAAGACGACAGAAGCTGGCAAGGACCTCTGAAGGCTTCCGACCATGAGTGCGCCTTCGGCGATGCGCCGCTAGCGCGGGAGGGAAACCGTCATAACAATCAGGATACACGGTAGTTCCAGTTGTTTGAGGTTGCATTGAAAAGAGCTCGGGACGCTTGTTCTAACGAGCCCAAGAGCGCCGGAGATGGATCAGGGACGAAGAAGTTATGAGCATCGGAAAACTTGTATCCGGACATGCGCCGTTCGCGCTAGGGTTCACCGTCGGAAAGGACTCCCGTACGCCTTCGGCGATGCGCCTTCGGCGGAACCACGCGCTCATGGGAGGAAATCAACTCAGAGGCGGAAGCGCCTTTGGCGGCTGCGCAACGGAAGAGAAGCGCCGGCCGGATGTACGCCTCCGACGTGGCGTGGATAGGCGGATGCGCTGGGATGATTTGCGCCGGCGGGATATGCGCCGTCAGCAATAGGCGGGGCAGAACGGACAAAACCAGTGGTACGAATACGCGCCGGCGTAATTCGCGCCGACTTGATGTGCGCCTCCAGCGAGGCGCCAACGGAGAAGGAATACGCTAGCGGCGATACGCCTCTGGCGATGGTCAGGTTAGGAAAAGACAACATAGTCGACGCATACACTGCGGCGAACTCGAGTTCGGAAGACGGCGCCGAAACTCGAGTCCGGAAGACGATGGCGGCGGGAGAATTCAGCATTCACGCATGCGAATGCGCGCAGTGCGGAGACGTGAATTCGAGCATGCGAGGGAGAACCGTTAGGCCGCATAGCCGGCTGCGTAATTGTAACCAGTAAGAACGTTGGACGATCTTGAATTCGGAGAAGAAAAGACTGCTCTCCAGTCTCATTCTCTCATTCTTGATTGTGAGTTTTCCAGCTTCCAAGATTACGCGCAAGGGCGGAGAGACCTGCAGTGAAAGGAGAGAGTGCGGAGACGAGTTGCGCGAGGATCTTGACAGACCTTGCAGAGAATTTGCGAGTAGCGAACTTGAGCGCGCAAGAGAGAGCGATTTCGGTCAGTGTTTGAGCGGCCGTGTAATAACCCACTAAAGGCTAAAACTGCAATATAGTGGTAGAAAGGTCGAACCCACAGGGATAGAGGAACACACAGGGTACAAAGTGTCACGTTTAACAGACTATTGAGGAGTTTGAATTCTCAGGCGACTGTCACTCCCAGAAATACTGCAATTGTCCACTCGGAGCGCACTCGGAGGTCGCACAGTGCAGCGTAACACACACACACACACACACCTGAAACTACAGAAACACAACCCAGAGATCCGTTAGGACCTCTACTCAAGATTTCAGGGGGAAAGTCTCTCGCGAGCACACTCAGCGAAACTGCGGGTAGTGACTTCCAACTCCGGCTTTTACAACACTTCCACCAGCTTGCTGCTAGTGTAGGAAACCCGGTTTGGACTGCCTACTTCGGATCGAAGTCACTCATACGCGGTGAACAACACTCTCAGCTCACAAAACACGCAGAGAACATAGGTCCGCACTGAAGGACTCACTGTGAAACATTCCAGTAACACAACAACAGTCTATTGAAGAGTTTGAATTCTCAGGCACTTGTCATTCCCAGAAATACTACAGGGGTTACCCTGAAGGCACCTGCTGCAGCGTAACCTGCATTTACAACCAAGGCTTACACGAAGTAGCAAAACTTCACTTTGGCATTCAGGGGAAAAATCCCGAAGGAGTACAATCAGAAACAAACACTCGAAGGTGTAGGGGCGAAACTATTCAAGTATCTAACTAGTCATTGGCTCCGAGCATCGGCAATCACCCGCAGGTGTAGATCCGAACTACTCAAGTCTCTAACCAATGTACTAGCTCTGAACATTCGGCCGAAGACCTTCAGCTACAAAATGCGGAACGCCAAGTTGTAGCTCCTCTTGCGTGGTGACAGAACTAAGGACACAAACACGCAGAGTAAATGAGTTCCTGATCTGCACTTCCGAAATTGGAAAAGAACCCAAGGCAAAACGCCTTGAACTATTTTATACCTTCTAAGTCCTAACTAGCACTAAACTGCACTACGCTACACGCCTGCACGGAACCACGCTACACTACACTCCGCGGAACCGGTGCTACGCCTCCTGCGCGACGGATTGCCGCGCACTAACTCCCTACCCTGCCAGTCTTCCGCTCGACTGCGCAGTCCCAACCGCTGCAACGCCGCGGACACCTTCACCTCGAGGGTGGACATAGTATCCCGCGCCTTCGACAGAAAAGCGTCTAGCTTCTTCGCGACCTTCCGCCGACTCCTGCTGTCGCCTGCCAACAACCCTGCTGCGCGAAGTTCAAACTCACGCAGTGTGAGTTTCTCCTGCGCCGCCACTTCCCAGTGGGCGTAGCCCTTGAGACAGTGGGCGACACGCCTCGCCGTCTCCTCCTTCGTGCGATCTGCCTCTCGCCTGCGATCCTCTTCAATTACCACTAACTGCGATTCGGCCTCCGCACGCTGCGCTCTCAATTCGCCACACTCTGACTGTAGCCTGCGGATTAAATCCTCATCCGCCTGCCGTGCAAGCTGACACTCCGCCAACAAACGCGTCTGTCGCACGAGCTCTTCTGACAGAATCTGATTCTGAGTTTTCTCAGACATCAAATCCTGCGTGGTCTGCACCACATCCCTGGTGAGCTCTTCCAATCTCTCCTTCCGCATCCTGTCGAGGGCGTGCGATTTCCTCTCAAGGTTGTACTGCCCCCATAAACAGGCATGCCTCTCCCTCAATTCCTTCAACTCTTGGTCCACCCTAGCTAGTAGCTTGCTAGTGTGGACTTTAGTGCGAGTCCGTCTGCGCACTAATTCGATGTAAGATCCCGGCTGAAGTGGATCGGCGTATTTATCGAATTTGCGATCCAAGTACTTCAGCAACGGTATCACCTGCTTAGAGAGCGCCGCCGCCGGCGTGTGGTAACACACTTTTTGTTTTTTTTGCAGAATTTAAACAATTTTAGAAAACTAGTACCGAAGCAGTGTTTGTAGTTAGAAAAGGGTACGTTAAATAGAGTGGATTGATGAGATTGTCACGAGGACACAAAGAATCACGTAGTCGGATGTACCAACGCCAATGTCTTCGGCGCCTTCGGCAAAAGCTCCTTTTCTGAGGTGTCTCTACTCACGCGCCTCCAGCGTATAAGGAAGCTACGCTTCCGGCGCAGACACCTCAGGAGGAGGTTTTGCTAAAGACGTCA